TATGGTGTGAGTTAATTTTTGGTTCATGTTAATGTTAACTATAGACCAGTAATGGTTAATTTTACTAGTTAGGTGTAGAGGTATGGTGTGAGTTAATTTTTGGTTCATGTTAATGTTAACTATAGACCAGTAATGGTTAATTTTACTAGTTAGGTGTAGAGGTATGGTGTGAGTTAATTTTTGGTTCATGTTAATGTTAACTATAGACCAGTAATGGTTAATTTTACTAGTTAGGTGTAGAGGTATGGTGTGAGTTAATTTTTGGTTCATGTTAATGTTAACTATAGACCAGTAATGGTTAATTTTACTAGTTAGGTGTAGAGGTATGGTGTGAGTTAATTTTTGGTTCATGTTAATGTTAACTATAGACCAGTAATGGTTAATTTTACTAGTTAGGTGTAGAGGTATGGTGTGAGTTAATTTTTGGTTCATGTTAATGTTAACTATAGACCAGTAATGGTTAATTTTACTAGTTAGGTGTAGAGGTATGGTGTGAGTTAATTTTTGGTTCATGTTAATGTTAACTATAGACCAGTAATGGTTAGTTTTAGGGAAAATGTCTGGGTTAGGTATAAATACAGTTACAAAAATGAATGGAAGTCAATACAAAGTCCTCAGTTTGATGCAAATACAAGGATGTGTGTGTGTGCACACATGCAGTGTGCGCTGTTAGCCTGAGATGTGTGAAGTCACCGGAGGGGAGGGGGATGTAGATCCGCTTCTCCAGCCGTCGCCGCAGCGCCTCGTCAATGTCCCAGGGAAAGTTTGTAGCAGCGAGAACCATCACCATCTTAGACGGGTCGTCATTTTCCAGGGCTCCTCCCACACCTGCAAACCAAACAAATCTATAAGTACAACAGAAAAAGCACAAAAGCTACAGTTTATCTCGGGTTAATTATGCTTCTCTGTACTGCATCCATGCTGCTTTCATTTTTAAGTCTTAAACTGAGACCCATTAAATTTCTTTCTTGGGTAAACCCTTAGCATCCTGGACTGACTTCATGTTTTCACGTCTATGGCACTAACCGTCCATCTGAATCAAAAGTTCTGATTTGACCCGACGGCTGGCTTCATGTTCATCAGACGTCCCTCTTCTGCCACAAATAGAGTCAATTTCATCTATAAAGATGGTTGTTGGAGCGTAAAATCTAGCCTGTAATACACACACACACAATGAGAAGTGGATCAAAAAGAAAAAAAAGAAAGAAAAACAGTATATTGCATATAAAAAGAGCCACAGCTGGTTTACTTATATGTTTATATTTACACTCACCATTTCAAACAGCAAACGAACAAGTTTTTCAGACTCTCCCCTGTATTTGGAGGTCAGAGTGGAGGAGGACACGTTGAAAAAAGTAGTCCCACATTCTGTGGCCACAGCTTTGGCCAACATGGTCTTCCCGGTCCCTGGTGGGCCAACCATCAACACACCCTGAGAGGAAACGCTTACTGTATCAGATGCAAAAACTAATTTGTGTTTAAAAAATAAATAAATCAGTAAATAATCACAAAGAAAGCACCACTCTATCAACACTGTTGGCCGAAAAGTCATTCTTTGCTGCTGCTATGTGTTCACGTCACCACGCCTAACTGAATTTAGACAGTTTGACAAAAGGATCAATGCTGCATTAAATATGGAGCAAGTCAAATACAAAGATATTTTATTTAAAACAAATCCATGAAACCATACTTGTAAAGGATACGCCTACAATATACCCAACTCTTTATAGTTTGTTACTGCATCTGTTTTGTTTCTCTTGGTATGGAGATCACAGGAAAAAAGTTTTTGATCACATTTTTATAAAACTGCAGCCCCTGATGCCCCCGAGTCCGTTCACATCAACATGTTTCCTCTAAGCTGTCTCAGACTGACTGATTCAACATAAGTGAACAGATGAAATTAATGGAGCAGTGTCAGCAGAGAAGGTGAAGTGGACAAACTGTAACAGCCTGTAAAGTATGTGGCAATATCAGCCGACTTGCACTCCCATTTTTTAACCTTATTGATCCTTTTGCTCCTCAGCTCATCTAGTTTTCTATTAAAAAAATCTGTACTGCATCAGTTAAAAATGTAAAAAGCTCTTTTTTGTTYGTCTCTGAAAAGCAGATGATACTGGTCCTCTCACATGCTGAGCCCAAGGCAGGGGAAACTTCATTTAAAATAAGCCGACACTCATTTAAAAAAGAAAAAAAACCTGTAGTTTTAGGGAAATTTGTGTGGACAAACTTTCTTTCTTAAAAACAGACGACATCATAAAGCATTAAAATAAGTTTTTAAACAAGTTACAAGATCTGATTTACAGCCATGTTTTAAAAACGACACTCTGAAAACACATCCAGCTGTGTAAACAAGTTGTTTTTGAGCGTGTACCTTCCAGGGTCGACGAATCCCTTTAAAGAAGTCGGGCATCCACATGGGCAGCACCACTGCTTCTCTCAGCAGCTTCTTAGCATCTTCTAGATCAGCAATGTCTTCCCTACAGCCCACAGAGAGGAATCAGCAAAAAGCACAAAACAAAAACCTGCCTCCAGCAAACCCTACAGGATGTCAGTCAGAGTGTGTCACTGCACCAGTGTATGTTCGGGTTACGAGACACTATATCTCTCTCCAGCGAGTCCACCAAATCAGTGTCGTATCCTGTGCCGTCAAACTTCTTCTGCTCTCCTTCTCCTTGTGAATCTGTTTTTTTACCCTGCAGGGGAAGAAATTATAAAAATATAAAGCTAAGAACCACATCAGGTCATATTTCCATCGACTCAGCTGCCAATCGACTGTCTGACCTTATCGTCTTTGGCTTTAGCTCCCCGAGCCTCTCGGAGCCCTGCTGCTTTAAGGTTGGGCTGAGCGCGAGCCCCTGGTCCTGCGCCTCGGTGCTGCAGACCTGGAGATTCCTTCTTCTGCTGCTGCTGCTTCACAGCRCTGTTGGGCCGCTTCACTGCAACAGGATTCCTACAAAGATGCGTGATGAACACATCTGCTGATGGGTAACCGTTATAACGTATGTTATGGCAATATTTATTTAAAAACAGAGAGAAATACGTGGTCCAAGAATGAAGGTACTCCGTGGGATGATCAGCTGAGTTTTATTGCAACAACAGGAAACACAGAGAACGTGGCCTGTCTCTGTGCCTCTCTGTCAGTCTCCACACTGCTCACTGTCTAACTC